TATTTTAGCTTTTGCAACCTGGCCCTTGTTGCAATCCTACCAAGACGCAACACAGGTCAATTGCAGTCGCAGCACTGCTATCCTCTCTCCACCTTATCCCCAACCGAACATGTTAGTCCACACGATTTTTTCCCAAGCGATGTTGTCCATCATCTTCCTCCCTGGCCGTTCCCTTCTGACCCAAATCCTTTCCCCGACGTTCGTCCAGCTCAAGGCCAGCGTTGCCTTGGAGCTCACGTGTTGCAACCCACCGCAGCTGCTACGAGCACGACAACACCCGCCGCCGCTACTGTACGCGGGACCACCTGCTGTCGATGCAGATGATGCAGCATTCTATAGGAAAGGCGCGGAGGTTAGGAAAGGTTTCTATCACAATTGCAACAAGGGTCTTGTTACAATGGCGACGGACATGACTGCAATCTGAAGATGGTTTTTACAACAAGAGTTCAATTGCAATTGCAACAAGGCTCTTGCAATAGCGAAGTTGGCAGCCGCATGCCGGAGATGCTCTGCAACAAGGGTCCTTTTTGCAATTACAACAAGGGTCTTATTGCTGTGGGGGCAACAGAGAAGAGGGATTGTATAGTGAGTATCGTGGATCATACGGCTCATTACTCGACCGATCTTTTGAAAAGATTAGCCGGCCTACGCGTAGCACGCTCCAATCAAATTTCGGATGCACACAATAAAGTAGACTAGACGACAATGTTGCTTAATGTTTGTTTCATAAGGAATCGATGTCTAAGATCGTTGGTTCAAAACTAAAATGTCCTTGCGCGACTAAGGAACATATGCTTTCAAGCTAACACCACAGTTCACATGCTCAAAACTCATTCTGAATAGCAACTAAATTACAGTTTTTCGTGGCGCCCTCAAGCCACTAAATTGCTTATTATTTTTCCTGGCTGTCTTCTTGGTTGAGACCTTGGCCCTTTTTCTGATTTCCTTCATTGGAGCAATGGCTGGTGGAGGGGGTTGGAGCCACACATGCGCCTTGACGGAACCCCATTTGGGGCTCAGCCCATCCATAAGTTTAGCCTCGCCGTCGATGAAACTGTATTTGAGCAAGAAGCCCCTCAAGAAAAAGAAGGCGCACCCGCCCACGCCCGTAGGCGTGTCGTCCATGGCGAAGCTTGTGGGTGATCCAAGAAACAGGACGCGATCGCTCAAGCTCTGGCCGTCCCTGGCCATCCAACGCATCTTGCCATCGCCGTAGGCCCCTACGAGAGCATGCACCGTCACCGAGACTGCGCCCGCCGGGTCGTGCCCGGTGCGACCAGAGCACCAGTCCTGCTCGGCCAGGACGGTCGCCCACATTAGCTCACCTCGTGACTTGAAGACGTAGCTATGGCGCTTTATTCCATCCCTTGCGTCACTCATCATGTCGAGCTCGCCGCCGGCGGCGACTCCTTTGCCTTCGAAGTCAGGCTTGAGTATAAACCAAAGGTTCAGCCTCACGCAGACTAGGATCTTGCCATCGTGATATGCAGCACTCAGATGGCAGCCTTTCTCCAACAAAGTCAGACTTCTTTCCGCAGTAGTCCACGTGGTATCACCAGGACGCAGGATGGCCGCCCTGAAGACGCGCGAGTAAAAATCGTACACAAAGACGGTGCCATCGCGGTACACAATGCCACGGGAATCGCTCATCTGCCACTTTATCTCATCGTCATCAGCATCCACCTCCGAAAATCGAGGAAGCTTGGTGACGGCTCGGGTGAGAAGGTCGGTGAGTGTTGGCCGGGGATACGCCGTGAAAGCCCAGACGGCCGCGCCATCTTCTCTGACCACCCAGCTCATTTCGTCGCTGGTAGATGGTTCGTCCGGCAGGAAGAAGCTGTCGCGGCCATGGCGGTCGCTCGATCTCGGCAATGCCAAGATGCATCCGAAGTTGAGTGGCAAGTGCACAAAGAGGTTGTCCCACATCGCAAGCAGCCACGGCAGAAACGTCCGGTGGGTCGCTGCCGGAGATGGGAGTAACAGCGCCGCTTTGCGCCAGGGGCTGCAGACGGCGTGGAAGCGGACGAAGTCGACAACGTCGCGCAGGCGGCCGGAGATATCGATGAGCAGGTCCGCCGGGAGGTCGGCCCACCGTGACGGCGCGAGGCTGGCCGCCATGCCGGAGCCGCACTGCGATGCGATCTCAGTGAAGGTCTCCATCCGATCCAATCAAGCTAGGGCAATATGTCGAGCGTATGGATCCGCCGCCGTAATTATTTATCACCTTTAAATCCTTTCCTGGTTTGTATATTTAATTCCGCATTAGAAGGTCAGGATTGTTTAGATCTTTAACGAAATCCCGACGGCGGTTTTTATCCCGTGTTTTTACCTAATTACCTCACCCCTATTTTTTAGTTGTACCTCACCTATTTTAATTGCCATTTTAGTGGTATTTGTTGTATTACAATACAAATTAAGATAAAATATATTTTTCACCATTTTTTGTACTGGTAATTTGTGTTTAGGGTATTTGAGATCATAAACGAATTAGTAATTAAATCGGATTCAAAACTAGCTACTAATTTTGGTAATTTAAAATCGAGTTAGAAGTTCACAAGTTCTTGGAATGTATTCCTAAAGTACTATTTAGATTGTAATTGTACAAATATTAGAAGCAACTTCACTTGTGGAAATAAATCACAAGTATAATAAGCAAATTAAAGTGAGGACATACTCGGTGAAATGTCAAGGGGAGGCATGAGGATTTCTATGATAGGTTGATGTAAGGGCAACTCCAACGGTGTGTATCAAAATAGACACACAAAAGACAACGATAGGGGAACCGGTCACCCAACTGTATACATCAAATAAGCATCAAATCTGGACAGCGTGGGTCATGTGGACCTAGAGAACAAAACACATGGGGTGTGGGAAGTTCAACTAACAAGTGGGCCAGGTAGACGTCCGAACTTCCGCAAACCTTACCTAGATTTGATATCAGTCTCAGCGAAATTCAGACAACCAAACCGCATCGCTGATGTTTGATGCACGATGTTGCATGCTAAAAGTATCCGGATCGTTTGGTTCAGACATTTAGGTGCATTTTGGTGCACGACATTGGAGTTTCCCTAACCATGGGGTTGTACATCGGACTTGATATTTTTTTATGGGTGAAATTTTGGGTTTTTATTTCTCAAAAATAGTGTTACAATCTGCTGATATAGAAATTCCTTAACACTGTGTGAAATCCGGCACCACCAATAGGTGGTGCTACCTTTAGAACGATCAAGATTAGGTGGACTTTAAGCAGCTCTATTTTAATGAGGCTAATTTTTATCGGAATAAACCCATGCAGCTTCAGAAGCTTCTTAATCTCCAAGATTAGGTGTCCATGGGCAGATCAGTCCAACGAGTCACCTGTCAAGGCAGCAATCGTCGTCCAGCAATCAGATTGTACCATTCACGCAGCCTGAGTGGCATCTGTGTGATGCCGGGTAGGTTGACGCCTTTTTCAGTTCCCTTTTTCAATCTAAATCAACACATATCAATGGATAGATATGTAAGAGCATCTCTAACAGACATTATAAAAATAGAAACTGTAAAACATGTTTTAAGTGCCCCTTGAAACATCTTTTCGGTCTGATACGGGCTCTGAAAGAACAGACACGGTAAAAGGAGACCGTAAAAAAGAATTTATGTGGATCCAACAATTTTTTCCCTTTGCCTTCTTCTTCAGCCCGCTCGCGCGCGCTCGCCTATGCAGCTGCAGCTCGCCCGCCGGCGTCGTGCACTGCTCGCCGGCGCCCACCGGCCGCCGGCCGCACGCGCGCTGCCGTGAGAAATTGAAAGGGGCCCTCTGGAGCTGGTTGGCATTGAGGCGAGGAAACAAAAAAAGAAGGCCGGGCTTCTCCAGAGCCGTAGGAAATCGATGGCTGGAGCCCTCTGGTACATACGACAGTGTGCGCGGAGAGCGGAGAATTCCGGCTAGTTTGTGGCATGTCTTCTGCCCTTCAAACGGTAGAAATATAGGTCGGAGGCTCGCGTCTTCGGTGGCCTGTAAAACGTTTACGGTTCCGTGAACTTTTGTTGTGTGTGTCATGGACACAAAATTGGTCCGGAACATTAAACCCGTCAAAATTTTACAGGTTTTGTAGAAAACGATGGGAAGCAATCTACCCTCTCGTGAGAGGGCCACGTGGTATTTATTGATAGAGATGGGGCATATCCCATGATCGTATACATGTTTTGGAGTACAAGGGATTAAGAGATAGATAGAAAGTAGTTTAAGTAGATACTAATCTATCTCTACTCTAACCAGAACTCCAACTAACAATATATGTGCGCCTAGGGCAGGGCCACATGAGATATATTTCAATGCAGGCAGTAGATCCCGTGCAGATACGCTGCAGCAGCGGCAGACCGAGGTGGGCTCGCCCTCGGGATCCGACGCGCCCTGCAGGGTGGAGGTGGCACAATCCACGCTAGCCACCTGCGGCTCGGGACGCGGGACGGTCCAGCAGGCGGCCGACCTAGGCGCACATATATTGGCTGCAATGAGACGCGGGACGGTCCAACACACCCCCTTAGCAAAAACTATATTGGCTGCAATTAGATATATTTAAATTATATGGAGATATATATTGCTTTAGAGGCATACACAAACTATATGTAGTCTTTGCAACTTTTGGTCATGTCTCATGTTAATGTGATGCCTGGATTGAATCCAGCATGGTAGCACGTTTAGTGATGTTTGTTCACAAAAAGGTGTCCTCATAGTTTAAAGTAAATATATGCTTTTGGCATTCACATTGTTACTGTGATACTAGTCTTCTTTGTTTCCCTTGGTATATCAGATGTATTGAACAGACAAATTTTCTTTGATTACAGAGAGTATCTTTTTGTATCCTGTTTACGGTCCATTTCTCAAACAAAAATGTTGCTTGTTTCTATCCAGATCATCCCAGAAGAATTTCTTCAGCGTTTCAAGGGCGAATTCCCAAGAGAGATGATACTTGAAACACAAAAATGTCACAATTACATAATTGGAGTTGCCAAGAACAATGGAAATCTTGTCCTTACAAGTGGGATGGGGGAAATTTGTTGGGACGTTTGGTCTAGAGATGGGTGACACCATAGTATTCAGATACATTGGGAACTCTCGGTTTAATGTCATAATCTTTGATGAACTTGGCTGTGAGAAGGTATCATCAGTTTTTGTGGATCCTTCTCCACCTCCTGTGCAAGAAAGGCAAACGAGTGCTACTGATACTGTGAAAAGTTCTCATTTTCGTCCTCAGACCATACAAACGCAGCCATTTAGCATAGGGAAAGGGATGCCAATGGAGTCACCACGCCTCCAAATGGAAATGGACAAGTCATGTCAAGACAACAACACTGTGATAAGTGTTTCCTCCCGCGAGTCATCAGGTCTCATCCCACGAGTCAAGACAACAACATCGTGATAAGTATTTACCCTTGCAAATCATTCTCATATTTGTATTGCTGATATTTAGTTTTTCTGTTTTCTTTGCACAGGAGATCCTGTCTACTATGAGGAAGAATGTGGGGTACGTGAAGTGCCTGGTTCCGATTTCAACGTCAGGAAGAAGAAGGCCAGGCTATCTTCAAATCAGAAGCAGCAGTTGAAGGATTGTTACTTTACCGGCCGGAAGACCAAACTAACTTCAACTCAGAAGGAAGCGGTGAAGCGGATGGTCCAATCCATATACTCAGAGATCCCCATCTTCGTTGCTGTGATGCGCAAGTGCAATGTTGTTGCAGAATTCTATCTGGTTAGTTCCATTTTTTTAATGTGTGTTCTGCACCGATCATGTAGGTGCCTGCGTAGTAAAGTGCTACTTATGGAATATTAATGAAAACACTATCTGATAATGTAAATTCATAACCAGTCATCTTTGAATTTAAATATAGGCAGTTTCCTACTATCTTACAAATTTAGGAAGCAATTTAACATGTTATTTTTACAGTGTTTTCTTGCCATTATCTACTAACTCTTTTGTTCACTGTAAACAGACTTTTCCCATGCACTACGCTAAGAAATATCTCACAGAGGAGCCAGACATGTGTCTTCAGCGGCAGGGCCGGAAGTGGGAGGCGCGGTATTGTGAATACAATGGCGGGGAAAAGCTCACTATTGGATGGAAACAGTTTGTAGAAGACAACAAGCTGAAGATGGGTGATATCTGCCTCTTTAAACTGTTGAGCATTGAGAGAACCATGAAGGTCTATATCATCAGTGAAAACGTTGCCAATTATCGGGCAGGTCTCCAGAATGACACTGACCGCAAAGCGGTGTTCAGGAGAGGGGCTCATCATGCGGATGGAGCGTGTGATCCTGACTCAAGGTTCCTTCGCATCACTAAAACTGAAGCTATGGAAGATGATGCTGTTTTTAAAACTGAAGACGGTGCCTGATCGCCCAAGGAAAAAAGCCTGGTGTCTGAACCAAGCGTAGCTGCTGTTTTTCCGCTCTGGGGAAAACGAGTGGTCGTATCGATCATAAGGATCCGGTTGCGTTGTAGAAACTTGAAACTGTTCTGGTGCTCGATCTTGCTCCGTAGTTTGTTCGTTTTCTTCACAGGCTAGCCGTGCACGCGGCCTGGAACTCCTCTAGCTGTAGTTTTAGCTGTGTTTAAGTTTCCTTTTGCACCCCTGGATGCTGCTTTTAAGGTCGTGGGTTATTTCATTATCGTGGTGATAGTGGAATACAATCCTTCGTGGCCCTTTGGGGAAAAAATGGACGCCAACTGATCGAGATGTCATGTTACCGTATTCCCTGACGGAGGTAAGATTGGTGATGCTTTCATGTTTGTGGTACTGCTGATTCGTGAATCGCTAGTGATGCTGATATGATAGTGCTTTTGTGTTAATTAGTGAATTTCCAGTCAAGTTTTCTGCTCTTTCTTTCAAGGTCTAGAAGTTTTTTTTAGCGTTTCAAGGACTAGAAGTTGCCATGTGCGTTGCCGCACCGTTTTTCTTTCATGGGTCAATTTTTTCCGTGGTCGTACCATGGCTGGTCGTTGGGTTATGGACTTTAATTATAGTATTATACTAATAAAATACCCGTGCTTTGTCATGGGCCAATAAATAGATCGGCCGCGAATCTCTCGACTTCCGCTCTTCGATCATTGTGTTATCGGATCTCAGAGCGGTCAGATGTCAGGGAACAAAATACATCTCCTCGTCTGCAAAATTAAAGGCCCCACATAGGATTCGAACCGTGGCCGCTTCGCCCCAACACGAGGTCAATAAACACCACGCCAACAATTCGTTTGTGTCTTATTTAATCCAAGTACTTAATTTGACCTTGAATGAATACTACATGCGAGTGAAAAAGAAAAGGAAAAAACAGCTAGTGGGATTTGAGCCTACTAGATAACATTCCAGGATCGCGATCAGCTTGACTAATTCTCTCTTATGACTAGGTATAGATACTTTTTGTACATCATTTAAAATACAAACTTGAAAAAAAGAACTTATCAACCTAGGTTTTCATTGACCCTTCTAGCTATAAAATAGGTACACGTAAACGACAAACTCATATGTACATGATTTTTCACGTGGGATTTTTTTTGTTGAAACACATCCTCGGTAATTTGTGTGTAAATAGCACGGCAATTTATGCACCTCATGCCTCTTAATTGACTTACAGACGTCGTGGTAACTTTGATCTGAGAAACTTATGTGTAAATAACATGCTAACTTACACATCGCAGACCCGATAACGCACCTTCCAGTAATTTTTGTGCATATAAGATGCTAATTTATGCACCGTAGACCTTATGAGTTTGTACAAACACCGCAGTAACTTTGATTCAATGAAAAAATGTTGATAACATCCCCCGAGAATTTCCATGTAAATAAATAACATGGTAATATATGCATTGTTTGACTGCATGTCGTTCGGATCCGTTTACTAAAAGCGAAACGATCGGAAGTTAGCAAAGCCTAATAGCACGGTAACTCACACATCGCATACATGATAACTATAACTTATGTATCCCGG